GGCCACGAGCGGTCGGTCGACTTGCTGATCCAGCGCGGCGCGGAGACGAACAAGCAGAACAGCAACGGCGACGCCGCACTGATGGCAGCCGCCAGCCAAGGCCACCCTGCCACCGTGCTCCGCCTGCTTCGGGCGGGCGCAGACGCGGCGCTGCGCTGTGAGGAGGGCAAGTCCGCGCTGCAGTTTGCCAAGGAGAGGGGCCACGCCGGGTGCGTGCGCGCCCTCGAGGAGCATGCGGTGGCGGCGGCGGCGGCGGAGGCAGCGGCAAGGGAGGCGGAGAGAGCGGTGGCAGAGGCGGAGGCGGCGCGGCATGCCGAGGCGCTGCTGGCGGAGGAGGAGGCGGAGAAGGAGGTGGGGGAGCGCGCCAAGGAGAGCAAGAAGGGGAAGAAGAAGAAGAAGAAGGGGAAGGGCGGCGGGGTCGGCGCTGGGCCGTCGCGGGAGCCCGAGGAGCAGGTAGCACTGGCGGCGGAGGAGGCGGAGTTGGCGGCGGCGCTCGAGGAGAGCGCGAGGCTGGAGGAGGAGAGGCGGGCGGCGGAGGAGCAGGTGTCGTCCTCTTTGGCTGCAGAGAGGCCGCCTTTGATGGAGGAGGAGGAGCCGCCGGCCGACTTCATCTGCCCGATCACGACCGAGGTCATGGGCGACCCGGTGATGGCAGCGGACGGGCATGCTTACGAGCGGACGGCGATCGAGCGCTGGCTCGCGACCAAGTCGACGAGCCCGATGACGGGTGCGGAGCTCGAGAACACTGGCCTCTTCCCGCACCACATGCTGCGCCGGCAGATCCGAGAGTGGCGAGAGGCGTAGGACGGAAGGCAGACCCTGCCCCCAGCCGACCCGTTATTCTTTTTCGGCTCACCTGTTTCCGCCGAAAAATCAGCCCGGGCCCGGCGGCGGGGGGCGCGGCCGGCCGCGCGGCCGGGCGCGGGGGGCGTGTTGTGGCGTACGGACCCGTACGCCGCTCGCCCCGGGCCGTCGCGCGCGCTCTGTGGACCCCGCGGACAGCAAGATTTAGGAGCACCGGTATCTTTATAGATGAAGCGGGATTCGACACATGCGGACGATCGAGCAGCCATCGAGAACAACAAGACTTTTGGCGAGCCAACGCAGCCGAGAGATAAAATCTTCGCAAGAGGAGAGCCCAGAGTCTCTTGCTAGAGCGGTGCAGCCAGGCCGCACAGCGCGAACTCGCCGTACTGAGCCTAGCGCAGCGCGAACTGGCCGTCTGAGCCTAGCGCAGCGCGAACTCGCTCCTGTCGCTGCGCAACCCTAGCCGAGCTCCATTTTTAGGACTAAAAAGAAGACTAAAAAGAAGAAAAGAATCTCGAAAGGAAGAAAAACATTTGCGATCCCCAAGGTCGAAGGTGCACCCTGGATATCCTCGGAGCGCGCGACCCGGACCAACGCCGATGGGCTGGAAGGCGGCTGCACGCCACCTAGGCCTGGCATTCAAGGCCTTCGCCCAGTATGAGGAGCCCCCTGGAGGGTGTGGTGCACCACCGATCGATGACCCTGTGCCGCCGACACCTGAACGCGTCGCTGACGGTGATGCCGCAGCTGCGGAGAGAGAGGCGCGAGCGTACGAGGCCGAGCTCGCCGCGCACCAGAGTGGAGCAGCGGAGTGGGTGCGGTCGCGTCCGCGCTACCTTCCTGCTGTCGCTGCCGAGACTGACCGCCTCTCTGCTGCGGCGTCCTCAGGAGACGCTCGAGCGCGAACACCTGTGGGAGCTGTTCTGGAGGGACACCACGCAGAAGATCGCGGCGCTGGCGGCGATGGTCTTTGTCCTGTGGCTGCTGTACTCGCGCTACCGGCAGCTCCGCGGCGGATCGACACTCACTCGCGAATCAGCAAAGGCGAGCGCGCGCCTCCCGCTACCACCGCACGCTACCACCGCACACACACACCGGCGCCCACTCCTCCTGTGCTCCGCTTGCAGCTCGCCTCCGGCTACAAGGCGCCCGACAAGGCGGATCTGAAGGCCAAGGCCTCCGCCTCGGGCAGCGGCGAGGCGAGCGGCATTCTCTGCCCAGCCCACACCATCTACCTTGGCCCAATCTCTTGGCCCAATCTCCTCACCTCAAGCTCACCACCTCTCACCACCACATCCAATCACCTCGACGCATCTCTCACCTCCCTTCCTTTCTCCTCTCCTCTCGGCTCATCACAGCTCGTCTCGGCGCACCTCGGTCCAGACCCTTCCTAGACCTTTCCCAGACCCTTCCTAGACCTTTCCCAGACCTTTCCTAGACCTTTCCCAGACCCTTCCTAGACCTTTCCCAGACCCTTCCCAGACCTTTCCCAGACCTTTCCTAGACCTTTCCTAGACCTTTCCTAGACCTTTCCTAGACCTTTCCCAGACCCTTCCTAGACCTTTCCCAGACCTTTCCTAGACCTTTCCTAGACCTTTCCTAGACCTTTCCCAGACCCTTCCCAGACCCTTCCCAGACCTTTCCTAGACCCTTCCTAGACCCTTCCTAGACCTTTCCCAGACCCTTCCCAGACCTTTCCTAGACCCTTCCTAGACCTTTCCCAGACCCTTCCTAGACCTTTCCCAGACCCTTCCTAGACCTTTCCCAGACCCTTCCTAGACCTTTCCCAGACCCTTCCTAGACCTTTCCCAGACCCTTCCTAGACCTTTCCCAGACCCTTCCTAGACCTTTCCCAGACCCTTCCCAGACCTTTCCCAGACCTTTCCCAGACCTTTCCCAGACCCTTCCCAGACCTTTCCCAGACCCTTCCTAGACCTTTCCCAGACCTTTCCCAGACCTTTCCTGGACCGTTCCTGGAACCTTCCTGTAGGCGGGCGCCGTCTCAGACTCGTCCGGGCCGCGGGGCGAGCAGCTGCGCAGGTGGGCGCGCTCACACACCCACACAACCCAACGCCCCAGACCGCACGCACGGGCAGTCGAAGAACGGACACACACAGATCGACGGACAGAGACCGACGGGTGGCTAGTCCGGCAGGCAACGCCAAGCTCACACCCCCACACCCACACACTCACTCAACACGATCCCACACACGCACACACGCACGCACGCACGCACACACACACACACGCACACACACACACACACGCACGCACGCACGCACGCACGCACGCGCGCACGCCGCCACCATCGCCACCGCTGCCCACGCCGCCGCCGCCCCCGCCGCCCCCGCCATCGACAGCACTGCCACCCACGCCCGACCCTCCCACGCCGCCTCTAGGTCGGACGGTTCGCCATATCTCGCCATATCTCCCCACATCTCGCCATATCTCGCCATATCTCCCCATATCTCCCCATATCTCGCCATATCTCGCCATACTCGCCATATCTCCCCATATCTCGCCGTGTCTCGCCGTGTCTCGCCGTGTCTCGCATATCTCGCCATACGTCGCCATATCTCCCCATATCTCGCCATATCTCGCCATATCTCCCCATATCTCGCCGTATCTCGCCGTGTCTCGCCGTGTCTCGCCGTGTCTCGCATATCTCGCCATATCTCCCCACATCTCGCCATATGTCGCCATATCTCGCCATATCTCGCCATATCTCCCCGCCGCTAGGTCGGACGGCTCGCCACTGCCCCAGAAGGAGATCAAGACGTCCGAGGAGCTGATGAAGGCGGCGAGACACTTCCGAGACACTTCCGAGACACTGCCGCGACACTTCCAAGACTCTGCCGAGACACTTCCGAGACACTGCCGAGACACTTCCGCGACACTGCCGAGACACTGCCGAGACACTTCCGAGTTGCTCCCTCGCACGGCCCGCGGCACGCGCCTCGATCCCTCGCGGCCTGCCGCCCTACGCCCGCCCCTCACCGCCACCTCTCTCCCCACTGTGCTGGTGAAGGCGGCGGCAGCGTCGCGGGACCTCTTTGAGCGCACCGTACGCGAGCCTAGAAGCGGAAGATCTCCCCAGATCTCCCCCCGTCTCTCCCCGTATCTGGCAGCACGGAGCCTAGAAGCGGAAGATCTCCCCATATCTCCCCCCGTCTCTCCCCGTATCTGGCAGCACGGAGCCTAGAAGCGGAAGATCTCCCCAGATCTCCCCCCGTATCTCCCCGTATCTGGCAGCACGGAGCCTAGAAGCGGAAGATCTCCCCATATCTCCCCCCGTATCTCCCCGTATCTGGCAGCACGGAGCCTAGAAGCGGAAGATCTCCCCAGATCTCCCCCGTCTCTCCCCGTATCTGGCAGCACGGAGCCTAGAAGCGGAAGATCTCCCCATATCTCCCCCCGTATCTCCCCGTATCTGGCAGCACGGAGCCTAGAAGCGGAATGCGTGGTCTTGCATTCCGACGAGCGCTCGAGAGGACACGGACTCCGCTGTGTTCGGCCGCATGCCACTGCACGCACACTCTTCCGCCGTATTCACGCGGTGCTCTGAAGACTCTGCACGGTACCGCACGCCCGCCCTGAAGTTGGTGTCTCCACCACGTAGGTCAGCGATCCCGACCTGGCGTCCAAGGATGAGTAGAGTGCGGGGGGGGGGGGGGGGAGAAAGAGCTGTGGAAGACTGCGGAGGCGCAGAGACGCGAGGGGAGAGCAGGGGCCATGGCGCCCCGCGATGCCGCCGTGGTGTCCGAGGAAGGCGAGAGAGCGGCGCGCTCATCGCTGTGGCTCTCTGATCCCGCGGGGCGGGCTTTGTACTGCGCGGCGAGAGCCGCTGCGGATTGATGTGCATGTGGGGATGCGGCCTGAGGCCCTGGCAGGGTTACACGCTGACACGTACGCGAGAGATACTCAAAAACGCGCCCCTACCCTGAGGTCAGCGCTTCTGCTTTCTCTCGTTTCCCTAAGAGTAAGAGCTAAGACCCCACGCTCCCCTCTAACCCCGTAAGAGAGGTGAGAGCGTCGTTGACGTTTTGTCCGTTGATGAGCGCTCTTTCGCTCAAGCGCTTTCGTTTAATAATATACATACGCTGTGACACCTCTCGGGGATCGGCCGTTGGTTGGCGTATGTGTGAGACAGGGAAGTTGCAGGAGAGAGACAGTCGGTCCCGCCGCGCGACCTCGCCTCTCGATCTCTCCCTCTGGCTCTGCGAGCTTTACAGTATCGCTGCCGCCCCGCGGCGCCGCGCCCGGCCGCCGCCCCTGCCCGCGCCCGGCGCACGCCCTTCCACATGGTGCGTAGGGAGACGGCCGTGCGGCCTGAGTAGCTGATGCTGCTCTCAGCCCACAAAGCGCATTTGCTCAGATCGGATGCCGACCGCTTTTAGGGGATCATTTGCCCTGAGTTGGTCGCTCCGGCTGCGCTTGTAGAACGAGACGGTATATTCGGAGGCCCAGGAAGACCGGCCGCCTGGTCCAGTGCTTGAAAAGAAGTGCGGCGAAAGTGCCGAGCCCGTCACCAAGTTGTGCGGGATCGAGCCCTGGTTCCATGCAGTAGTCGACACATAGGGGTGGTCACATGCGTTGGCGAGAACACCTTCAAACTCCTCGCGATAAATCCGCTCGAGGGTCGATATTGCCATTCCCGAAATGCCAAGCATAGGAGGTCCCACATCCCCGTCGATGGCTCGCTGCAACGGTGTCTTCTTGTGAAATGGGACGCCCTCCCTGATTGTCGCTCGCGGATCAGCACTCTTCGGCCGCGACCTGTTGGGGCGGCTCAGTGACGAGCGGGAGCGAGCCGACGCGGTCGCCGGACGCACGAGATGCTCGTTTGACTTTGAATGATGTGTCCGGATCGTCATTGGGACCGCAGCCCTGCGACTGCGATCGATCGTCATGCGGCTGCAATGCGGCCGGCGGAGTAGTAACCGCCACTTGGAAAAGAATTTTTACACACTCGGAAAAGAATTAATGAGAACAACTATCTCTCACACAGCAGACAATCCCTGTGTGGTGGCGGCGTGCCGTCCTCCCATCCCTCCCTTGGCTTGTCCGTTTTCTTTCTTTTTTACAGCAGACAGGCTCGACACAGGTGCGGACTGGCGCGTGCTAGGAAAAGAATTTTTGAAAGCCAACTCTCTCTCACAGCAGACAGGCTCGACACTTCACCCCGGCACCAGCCCAGCTGCGGCTTCTAGCTCGGCTTTGCGGCGGCGCTCCTCATCGGTCAGGGCAACTGGTGCTGCTGCGGCAGCGGTGGCCGCCGCCGCCACCTCCGGTTTCTTGCGCAGCATCAGGTTGATGACGCTCATGCTTGGTCGCGCGCCGGCGCGGACCTTGGCCTGCAGGGCGAGCAGACGCTCCTTCATGTGCGCCTTCCACTTCGCCTCCGCCTCTGCCGCCGCCTCCGCCCGCGCTTCGACGCGCTTTTGCTTCTTGCTCTCACCGCTCTCGCTCGACCCGCCATCGGATGGCCCCTCGCTGGACGAGCAAACCTCGGCGGCCGCGAGCTTCTGCTCGTTGAGGCGCAGGAACGCCTCCTTGAAAGCGACGGCGGCGCTCTCCTTCGCGCCAAGGGCGGAATCGATCTCGGCCTCCGTCCACGACGTCAAAAGCTGCGCGACGGACGGAGCGAGCGGACGCTGCTCCCACTCCACCCACATATGAGCGCCGTCGCGACGGTCGCGGCCATCCTCGTCGCGCCAGCCGTAGTCCTCGCTCCATTCGACTTGCTCGTACTCATCCGACTTGGCCATGCGCGCCGTCACGCACTGGAGCACGGGGCGTAACTCATCCAGCGGGCCTCCATCGCGGAACTCACGCGCTTCCTCGTCGTACACGCCCGACTTTTTCAGATAATTGTGCCAGCCGACCTTCTTCACGTCGCCGTACACGAGAGCCAGGCCGCCGCCCTCCGCGGGGCGCACCAAAACGTCATCGAGGTTGATCGTGCCGACGCGCCCGATCATGATCAAGAAGGCGAAGCGCTGGAAGGAGTCGGTCGTTATAGCATCCAGCCTGTCACAGTCGTCTTCATGGTTGATGATGTCTGCCAACGAAGTCGCGGCCTTAGCGTCCTTCTGTGCACTCACGTCGAAGACGCAGTCCTTATAAAGACCACCTCGGAAGCCAGCGAGCGGCGCGACCGCACCTTCAAGGGTCGTCGGCTCCTTCACTGAGCCGCCGAGCTGGACCACGGCTTGCTTGACGCCCGTGCCGCTGGCGAGGCGCAGGGAGGTATCGATGGTGGCGAGCGTGAGCGCCTTGATTTCGCCTGCTCCTCCTTTGCTTAAGAATGCGAATGCTTCACGGTTTATATTCTTGAAGATGTACTTCTTGCCGGCCTCGTCGGCCAGCTGCACGAACGGCCTGGGGCCAAACGTTTCGGCCGTGCCCTCCCAAAGCACGGTCCCGTCCTCGAGCGAGAAGGTGATTTGGCGCGCTGCGGGCTTCTCGTCCTCCTCCGAGCTCATGTGGGCGCCGTCGACGACAAGCGCTGCCGTGTTGGGCCCGCCGCCTCGCCCGGCCCTCGTGCCGCCCGCTCGACCGGCCCACCCCACCTTCGCCCTCCTAGACACCTCCTCGAAAACCGGAGCCTCCGGAACCCGTTTTTGGCGGAAGAATTTTACCACACAAGCCCCTCTCACAGCAGACTGGCTCGGACTGGCACTACAAATGGCACAGCAGGCGACGGCCCCTTACGGGTCGTCAAAGAGGCCGGCGTGCTCCTCCGGCCGCTCCTCCCCCTCCCAATCCTCCCCGGGCTCTGGCTCCTCCTCCTTCGCCCGCGCCCTCGCCCCCCGCCGGCGGCGATTCCGTGCGGCCGTCGCCCCCGACCCCTCCCCGCCCCCATCACGGCCGGAGCCGTACCACCCAGCGCGCACGAGGAATGAGGACCGAGCCTCAACCCTGTCCGCCCTCACCGCCCGCACGGCGGCGTCGCACGCCTCAGCCCGCGAAGCGCCAGCAGCATGCGCCGCGGCGTACGCCGCGTCGCCTACCGCCTGCCTCGCGAGACACGCGGCGCGCCACTCGGCGGAAGAAACCCGACTTGAAGAATTTTTGGCTTCGAGGTGGATATCCTTTGGCCGCGTTGCCGTTGGGTAGCGACCACCTCGCACGACACTGGGCACGGGACTGGCGCGCACTAGCACTAACACAGGTACACCACGGGAGCCGCCTAAGCGACTCCCGCGAGCCACGGCGGTGTGGTCTGTGCGGGAGAACGACGATGAACGACAGACAGTCGCTGCATCTGCAGCCCGTGCCAGTTCTGTGCCAGTTCTTGGTGGTCCATGTGACCTCATCGAGGTGCTGAGCGTGCGAAAGTTTGTTACTCAGGAGCTGGTTCGCCGCCTGCCGAAGTAGAAGAGCGCGGACGGCCCTGCCGCCTGCGCCGGGCGGCGGGGACCTGTCGTACACACGACCTGCTGCTGTTCCTTTTTTTACTCATCATCTCACAGTAGAGGTGTCTGTTTTTTATTACATCATTCAATCACATCACACGCTCAGAGATCGCCACTCCCGAGCTCGATCTCCTCCGCCCCTGCACCACCACCGTCGGGCAAAAAGAGGGCCAGCCCCACCGTCGCCCAGAGCGACATCGTCACGCCCGCTAGACAGTACTGCCAGAAAAGTACGGTCGCGACCTCTCGCTGGCCGACCCCCGAGAGCGTCGAGATGGTGGACATGTTCATGGCGGTGGGCGAGCCGCCGACGATCAGCAGCACCACGGGCAGCAGCGGGTTGGAGCCCGCTGGCGGTAGCAGCCCGAGGCGCAACGCCGCAAGGACGACACCAAGGTTTGCGGCGGGCACGACGAGCAGCTTTGCAACGAGCACAAGCCGGGTCGTGGCGCCGGAGAAGAGGAGGCCGCCCGGGCCGCCGCTGCCGCCGCCGCCGCCGCCGCCGCCGCCGCCACCGCCGCCGACTTTATCGCCGCCGCCGCCGCCGCCGCCACCGCCTGCGCCGCCGCCGCCGCCACCGCCTGCGCCGCCGCCGTGTTCGCCTGCTCCACCGACCGGGGTGGTGTCGTCGGCAGCCCGGCCAACCAAAAGCGATGCCCCGAGGGTGAGACAAATGAGCGGGATCGCCTACAGGAAGGTTCCAGGAAGGTTCCAGGAAGGGTCCAGGAAAGGTCTAGGCGAGGTCTAGAGGAGCGGGATCGCCCCTCGGCCCAGCATGACTCCGACGTCGAGGAGGAGCCTATGTGTGCTGCATACGCCGACATCGGGGCGGGATGGCGGTCTTGTGCGGTGTAGTACTCAGAGCACCGCGTGAAGACGAGGGGCTACGAGGACAGTGACGTCGGCTTCTCGACTGCCTGTGCGTGTGCGTCTTGGGTCCGGGGTTGTGTTTTTTGTGCGAAGACGGCTGAATACGGTCGAATACGGCGGGGTATATGCCCTCTCGAGCGCGGGTTGGGAGACAAGAGTACGTATTCAGCTTCTAGGACGAGGAACCGCAGCGGTGCCCGTAGTCACCACCAGCCTGCGCAGCGGCGTGGCGCCCGTCGCCACCCCCGCCAGCGAAGCCAGCGCCGGGCGGGTCAGCAGCGGTGCAAAGCAAGAGGCCAGGCGGCGCGTACAGCGAGCGGCTGGCGGCGGTCGAGGAGCATGGCACGCCGTCTTCCCCAGCCTGCCGCCGCTTTGCGCTGCTCTCCCAGGACTCCCAGGACCACTTTGCGCTGCTCTCCCAGGACCCCCAGGACCCGACGGCGCCCCTCTGCCGGGATCGGACGGCTCTGCGCCCGGCCGGCCGCCCCTCTGCAGCCCGAGCGGAGGCTCGCTCGCACCAGCCGCGGCACAAGCGGCTGCGGCGGCAGTGCAGTCTCCGGAGGGCTGCATCTCGATCGCCACCGGCCCAACGGCCGCACCGGCCGCCAGCATCGGGCTGCTGTCGGCGGCGGAAGACCGGGCGCTCACACAGCGACGGTATGGCAGTCCTGGCGTGTAGCCTCCGCCGCCGGCGACGGACGGCTGCGCGTCGGTCTCGGCGATGGCGGCGGCGGCGGCGAGCATGCGCGGAGCACACACCCACATGCACACGCTCATGACGACGTTGACGAGGAAGAGGTAGGAGAGCGTGCGCGACTCGAGGCTCTGCGCATGCGCCTCTGGCAGTGATGGATCTGCGGGTCCAGCGAGCGCCGGAACCGCGGCTGTGATGGATAGCAGCAGCGGCAGCGGGAGCCCGACCACGTTGGAGAAGCCGCACAGGGCGGTGGTGATTGGACGTGCCGCTCGCGGCGCAGCTGTGAGGCGGGCGGCCAGCTGTCCGCACACGAGGCCATTGAGCATGAAGGCGAGGCTCATGACGGGAACGCCCTTCAGGTGGGTCAGCATCGACGCCGTGATGCCCTCGGCGCAGGACGTGAAGATCATGAGCGGGATGAAGAGCTCCTTGTTGACCTCCGACAGCGCCGTGAGCACTCGCGCGTCCAAGCGGAGCCTGCGGGCTGTGAGGCCGCCGGCTGCGCCAGCGATGACGACCTTGAGCGCCGCGGCGGCCGCGACGCCAGCCAGCGACAGTGTCGTGGACATGGCCTACCACGCCGGGCGTTATCAGGAGCGAAGGGTCAGCAGCGAGGCAGTCGTCAGCGGCGAGGCCGACGTCGGCAGGGCTGGCCGTCGTGGCCTGGCCGTTTATCTCAGTGAAAGAAGAATTCGCGCACATCTGGCTTCCCTTTTCTTCTGCGCGACCGTTACATCTTCGCAATCTCGCCGATCTCCCGAACTCGGAGTCCTGACGCGCCACGTAGGAGCGCGCCATTGACTTGTGTCGTGGGATGTGCTGGTCCCTTCGCGCCTCACTCGCTACTGGCGCGCTCTCGTATGTCTGCGCGTACTATCTTTTCCGCCGCCGCACCACTCACCGCGATCGTTGGCACGCCATATTCCTGTTCACCTTCAGCTCGATGCAATGGCTGGAGGCGGCGCTCTGGGCAACCGATCCTGTCAACGATCGCTGCAGCGCCACCAATGTCGCGCTGTCGACGTGGATTCTCCCGTCGCTGCTGACCGGAGAAATATATGTTCAGTGGGCCTGCGCAGGCATATACCGCCTCTCACTCCACGACGTCCAACTCTCACCGGCTTGGCGATGGTGCCTCCTGATGGTCGGGATCGCGTGGGTCGGCCCCATCGCACACCTACGCGCGCCCGCCTACTTCGGGCCGAGGCCATACTGCACGACAGTGCAGCACACTGCGCTGCGATGGATCTCAACCGAGAGGCAGATACCGGAGCCCCTGATCTGCATGTGGGTCGCTGCCATCACTGCGCCCTTGCTGGCCATGAAACCTTTGGCCGCGGGCGCCACGTTCGCCATTGCGGGTAGCTCGCTGGCGCTGGGCGTGTACCTGACTGTCGGCAACGGCGTGTTTGGCTCGCGCTGGTGTTGGATCTCCTGCTGGTTGGGCCTGCTGATGCTCCTCGACCCGTGGCTGTTTGGCAGTGCGGTGCCCGGCGCACCCCTGCGAAAGACCAGATGAAAACAGAGTTCTTGGTGGCTGGGCACGGCGACGCAAAGATACAGGAGGGGTGGATGGTCAGGAGGGATGCTCGGTAGAGTTTTACCATACCCTCAAAAAGTTGGAACCCTGGTCTGTGTGTGGGTGTGCATGACACATGGAGTTGGCACACCACATAGTGGTTGCCCCTTCCTATGTCGCTCATTCTGAGCGTAGTGACCGCCTCTGCGTTTGCTCCGGCGCCTGCCTTCACGTTCACTCACGTGCCCACTCCCGTGCGGCTGGCGCCGCGGCTAGCGCCGCCGCGTGCGGCGAGGCCGTGCATGGTTGACTCGTCGGGCATCGACGGCTGGCCGGAGCTTGCGCAGGCAGCGGTCTTCGTCGGCTCATATGCGAGCCTCGGCGCCTGCGCGGTCGGCACAACGCGGCTGTTTGACGCCGCGCGAGAGAGTGCCCTGCCGCTGATCGCCGGGTCGCGCTCCGCTGCGGCCGAGCTGCATCGCGATTTCGTCGCGGCTCTGCCGCTGCTCGGCCTCCTCTATCTCGCCGCCGGCGTCGGCCACTTTGCCGACGCGGAGGCGTTCCGCGCCATCTACCCGCCCGTGGGCACGTGGGGCCTCTGGTACCTGCCCGGCTCTGCAGAGTTTCACGTGGCGTGGACGGGCGTCGCAGAGTGTCTCGGCGGCGGCGGGCTGGCGCTCGGCGGCCTGCTCAGCGGGCTCGGCGTCGAGGCGGAGGGGGCGCTTGGCCTGCCGGTCGGGGGGCTGCTGACGGCCGCGTCCGCTGGCGGCCTCTTCCTGCTGACCGTCGCGGTAACTCCAGCCAACATCTACATGTTCACGCACGGCGCCGTGATGAGCGGCCAGGACGCCGGCGCTGCGCTCGGCCTCTCCTTCCACTGCGCGCGCTTTGGCATCCAGGTCGTCCTGCTGAGTCTGCTTGCGACGCTCGCACGCGACTCGTTCTACTACGCTTGGGGGGACCAGCTGGACTGACCGCATTGCGCGGGTTCAGAGTAATGTGAGTCAACCAAAGCGTTGAGCCTCTGGCCCTTTCTATTACATACATCATAATGTGCGGAGGGGGGGTGTCCGCTGTCTCGTGGCGCCCACGGCCACAGCCTCTGGGCGGCGGGGGGGAACGGCGCGACGGGGATACCAGTCGAACGGCGGCGGAACGCGGAACGGCCTCTCTTAGGCAGTCGATAAATAATAATCAATCGCGAGAGGGTTGAAGGCCCGCACTGCCGCGGCCGACTCGGCATCGAGGGGGCAGCCACGGAAGGCTTCGTCGCCGATCGGCAGGGTGACAGCGTGACGGTTGTGAGGGCGGAGGCTATCCGGCAGCGTGACGGCGGTGAGGGCGGAGCAGCAGTAGAAGGCGCAGCGGCCGATCGAGGTGAGGCTGCCCGGCAGCGTGACGGCGGTGAGGGAGTCGCAGCCGTCGAAGGCTTGGTCGCCGATCGAGGTGAGGCTGTCCGGCAGCGTGACGGTGGTGAGGCCGCAGAAGGCGCCGCCGCCGATCTTGGTGAGGCTGTCCGGCAGCGTGACGGCGGTGAGGGCAGAGCAGCCGGAAAAGGCGCTGCCGCCGATCTTGGTGAGGCTGTCCGGTAGCGTGACGGCGGTGAGGGCGGAGCAGTCGCGGAAGGCATTGCCCTCGAGCGCAATCACGCCGTCCGGTACAATCGCGTGCCCATCCTCGTCTATCGGGTATGCCGGCTCCTCCTCCCACTCCCACTCCTCCTCCTCCTCCTCCTCCTCCTCCTCCTCCTCCTCCTCCGCATCCCCCCCCCCCTCCCCCCCCCCTCCCTCCCACCGCTGCACCTGTTCACGCGCGGCTGCCGCCACCTCCTCCGAGTCGCTGTCCAGCATTGCCTGCAGAAACTCGAGCAGCGTCGCAAACGTCCGCGCTCCGGCCTCGCCGGTGGGCTCTGGCTCTGCCGTCGAGGCTTGCAGCTTCCGCTCAAGCGCACCAACTACACTGGCGGCCTTCTCCAGCGCCTGCCGCAGCTCGCCCTGCTCCAGCAGGGCCGCCGCCTGTCGGAGGTCCGCCGGCAAGTCCGGCGAGGCCGCGTCGTCAGCAGCTGCCTCGTAGGTATCAAGCTGTAAGCGAGGGCGGCAGCCTCTCCGCGGCGTGCACACGGCTGCTGGCACAAACTTGAGGCTGGTCACGTCACAGCGCCCCTGCGGGCACACGCACGTCTGCGACTCCGCGTCGATGACTTTGATGGTGCACAGCTCGCAGAGCGTCGCGTGGCCGCATGGCTGGTTGCGAACGGTGCGAGGGCGGCTCATGCACACCCTGCAGCTCTCGCCATCCTCCTCTCTTCTGGCGCCGCTGCTGTCGCTGGAAGCGGCCCCCGCGGCGCAGCCACCAGCGGCGGGCCGCTCGGTGGTATTGACCGACGTTGCTGCCGAAAACTGCCCCCATCGGCCGCTTGAGCCCTTGGCCCGCAAGCGCACCGTGTAGGTGGTTGCCGGCTCGAGCCCAGTGAGAGTGAGCTCGTGCTCGGACGTCGGTTCGAGTGGTTTGCGCGCGTGCAGCGGCAGGCAGTCCTTGACCGACTCGACCGTGACCTTGCCGCCACCCCAGTAGCTGCTGGCCCTTGGCCCGGACGTAGGCGGGTCGGCCGCGCTTGTGTACCGCACCTCAACGTCGCTGATTGGCACCGAGCTGCCCGGCACGGTGAGCTTGACGGTGATCGAGCTCTCAGACGTGCCCACGACCAGCGGGGGCGCGCACTTCTTCGGCGCGCCTGAGCTAGGAGCCTCAGCCATTGGGGGCGTGTCGCCCGTCGAGAGACCACGGAGCCTCCGAAACGAAAAAAATATACGTGCAAGTGAGGCTGCCGACTGCACTCCAAGTGCTCCAAGTGCGGGGAGCTACAATGCGCCCGGGAACAAGTGACTATCCCTGGCAGCCCAGAACCCTGCACAACCACAAGCCGCATGGCGGGGACCGTTGACTAGTTGCAAATACGGGTCGTGACATGTGGTTCCACCACCCCTCGCAGGCTTTGCCTCTGACCGCCACCGTTCCCAGGCTGCCTAATGGGATGGAAAGGAAGGCTGGGCGAGCGTATAGAAGCGTGCTCGACCTCGTCGTGGCATCGTGGCAACCTGCACGGCAGCGCTGGCAGGCGCGATGAGCGTCGTGCCACCTGACCCGAGACGGGTCGCAGGCGTCGTACCGAGCGCGTCGAGACCGTGTCCTGATGCGCTCTGCATGGGTGAGTCACGTCGGCGTCAAAGGAGCGACGTGTGACCTGTCAGAGCTTGATTTCTGATCTCAGCGGCGTCGAGTCGCCTTCGGCGGCGACAGCTAGGATGCATCTCCTCCGCCGTCGTTTTTCGCGCTACGGCCCTGAGAAGCTGGCGCCGCACGCAGGCGGACCTTGTGTGTGCGCGGAACGCTTAAACAGTGGTGCTCTACGTCACTTTTTTGAGTAGATCGTAGTGCCGACGGCTGGCCGTGACAGCGATTTTGGTAGTTTTTGGTGGGTTTTGCACCACAGACTTTGTGCAACTAGTCCGTTCCCTTTTTATTCAAATTACAAATAGTATCACTCTCCCTGTATCTCAAGAAACGCACAACTTCAACAGGGGCTTGTCAACACCCTGCCACCGCAGACGCACAGGCGCCCCTCCTCGAGCCGCTTCCAGTGGCGCCGCCATGCCACCGGCTACCGCCCGACACCATCGCCGCGCCCCCGCGGCTCTGCCGGTGCGCCTCCGCGGTCTGCCGCAGGCGCTCGAGGTAGGTTGGCGGCGAGGAGGCCGGGGCCGGGGCAAAGGTGGCCGACGGCGGGGTAGAGCGCTTCGCCTTGGCGGCGGGCGGGCGGGCGGCCTCAGCGAGCAGCAGCCGCTCGAGGCGCGCGACGGCGCTCGAGGCGCGAGGGCGCGCCCACGCGGGATCATCCGCGGCGGCGGAGCTGGGTGTCGCGGTGCCGCGCTTGGCGGCGAGGGCGGCGGCGGCGTGGGGCGTGGAGAGGGCGGCGGTGGTGGCGAGGGCGAGCGGTGCGGTGGGGGCGGCGACGGTGGCAGCGACGGGGACGGCGGCGAGGGCGGCGCAGCCAGGCGCGGGGTGACGCGCCGGCCCCTCCTCGGCCTCCAGCTGGCGGCGGAGGCGGAGGGAGCTGCTCGCGAGGGCGGCGCGCCACTGCTCTGCCACCTCCTGCTCCTCGCTGCCGCGCTCGTGCGCCACCGCCTCGCGGGCAACCCGCACGGCTCGCGCGCCGATGCTCCAGCGGCGCACCGCTTCACGGAGTCGGCGCTCGCGGCCCGTGGCGGCAGCCGCCACGCTCCGAGCGCGCGCCGCCGCGGCCGCGGCGGCGCGCGCAGTCCACCGCGCCAGAGCCCAGCGGGCGAGCTCGCCGGCCCGATGAGGGACGGCCACGGCGAGCAGCAGCACCGCGTAGTAGCGGCCCTGCCACCGCCGCACGGCTGCGAGCGCCCGCCTGCGGTCGCACGCCCAGCGCGTGCTCGCTGCGGCCGCATCGGCGGCCCGCCGCGCCGCCGCGCGCCGCCGCCAGCACGAGCACGCGCGGCGCGCCGCCGCCTCGCGCCGGTGGGTGGCTGCGAGGAGAAGGTTGCGACGACCCGACCCGAGCCGGCGCGCCCTCCCAGCCAGGCAGGCGAACGCCGTGCCGAGCTGCACCAAATCGGCCGCCCCCCGCCGCTCGCACCGGCGGCGACGCGAGTCTGCCGCCGCACGCCACCGCCGCACCGCCGCGCCGAGCGCGACGGCGCGGGCAAGCAGAGACGCGTCCGCATCGGGGGCGGGGGATGTCGCCACGCGGTGGTACCACCGGCGCAATGCCGCTCCGCCGCGCCGCCGCGCCGCCGCCGCCGCCGCCTCCCCCGCGGCGCGCCGCGACGCGGCAGAGGTGGCGAGGCTGGTGAGGCCGCGGCGCAAGCTTCGGAGGCGAAACCAGACGTCGGCCGCCGCTCTCTGCCGCCGCCGCCGCGTGGAATCGGCCGCAGCGACGCACCATCGCGCGGCGAGCGACTCGAGCGTGTGGCGGCGGTGGAAGCCTCTCGCGCGCTGCGCCGCCGCGGCGAGGCTCTCTCGGCGGATGGCCGCGCGCACCCATCGCTTCCTCGCCACCGCGAGGCGGACGTGGACAGACGGCGGCAGCCTGCGCGGCGGCACCGCGGCGGCGCGCCGCCAGCGGCGGAAGGCGAGAGGGAGCTGGCGCAGGCGGGCGGAGAGAAGGCTGAGCGCGGCCGCCCGCCGCTGCCGGACCCGCTCCCCGGCAGACCGCCTGCGCCAGCGACGCAGCGCCGCGCGCGCCGCCTGCCGCGCCGCCGCGCGCGCCGCTCCGTCCGCTGCGGCGCGCGCCACCAGAGCGAGCTTGGCCTCGGTCCGCCAGGCGGCGAAGGCGGCGGCGGCGGCGCGCGAGCGCAAAGTTCTTTCGTGAGACGCGAGGGCCGCCGCCGCGCGCCGGGCGGCGGCGGCCGCCGCCTTCCATCCGCCAAAGCCGCGAGAGAGCCGGCGCACACTCACGAGACCGAGGCCGCGTGCCGCCGCGCGCTCGCGCCGCTGTTGGTCGGCGCGCCCGTGGCTGCGCCAAGTGGCGAGGCTCGAGGAGAGGCGGCGGCTCCGCAACCGCAGCGCCGCCACCCTGTTCGCACGCACGAGGGCCTCCTCCCTCGCCACAAAACGGCTGCCGCAAACCGCCGCCGGGGCAGCTGCCGCCGCCGTCGCGCCGCCGCCGCCTCCGTGCCCGCCCTGTGGCGGGGGCGGCGCCCGGGCCGCCGTCCGCACCCACGGCATCCTCGCACCACCTGAGCCTTCCTCTGCTCTGCGGCTGTGCGGGGATCCGTGCCAGCCACCACCCGTCGAGGCAGTGCTCCTCCGCACACTCGAACCACCGCCGCCGGACGCGCGCGAGTCGAGACGGCTCACCGCCTGCCGCAGCTCGCGGCGCGCTGGCACTGTGGCTGCGGCCACTGCCTCCACCAGAGCCGCCGAGCGTGCGCCATCGTCGCTGCTGCCATCTGCAGCATTGCCGCCGCCGCCAATGCCGCCGCCGCCAAAGCCGGCGCCCGCGCCGCCGCCACAGCCGCCGCCGTCGCCGCCGGCGTAGCGGCCGCTGCCGCAGCGCCCCTCGCGCTCTCTGTGCCCGGCACGGCCACCAAGCACTTGAGGCCGCCCGGGATGCCCCGTCTCGGAGGCGCGCTGGGCTGACGGCTCGGCGGCGGTGAAGGCGCGGCTCCCACGCCCCTGCCGCTCGCACTCGGCCGCTATCGCGCACGCTATCGCCGTCACCTGTGCCGCCACAGCGCCGCGCCGCGCCGGAGCATCTTCGGGCGACTCCTCAATGCTCGGCAGAGGCGGTGAGTGGAGCTTCCTCGGTGGCGGCTGTTCCTCGGCCGTCGGTGAGTTGCCGTCCTCAGAGAGCAGGGCTGCAGCCATGGAGCGGCGAGCGGCAGCCATGGACGAGCGTGTGGCCGCCTCACTGCTGGCCGTCCAATGCTCGCTGCAAGAAGCGCAAGAAACGCCGGCTCGCGGCGCACAGGTCGCGGCACGGGCGTCTCGTGCCCGCCGGAGGCTGTCCACGAGCGACTCCAGCTCCGACTCGAGTGTCGCGGGAGGCATTGATCGTGAGCGCCCGATATTGCGGCCTTTTGAGGGCTGGCGCGGGAAAAGAATTAATGCCGTGCCCCGATCACGCCTCTACACGGGATTCGCATGTTCGCACGAATCGCGCTTGGCCGCGCAGTTGTGCTCGACGAGACACTTTTACCGCAGGCACTCGAGAACCGCACTCCAATTCCTCCATCCAAGAGCTACGCAGTACCTGACATCCCCTGAGGTCCTGCCACTAAAGGCGGTGTGGGTTGGGACTCGATCAGTCAGCGCGGGGGCGGCGGGTGTGCGGGATGTGGGCCCGAGAGCGTTGCGTCATTCATGTGTGTGTATGTATGTATGTATGTAGTAAGGTGAAGAACAGTCAGGCTCGGACTGGACACCAACGCGGTATGGGTGGACGCAAGACAGATGATGACGACACGCACGAGCGACACACAGACACAAACAAGCTCACAAGACACACAGCCAGCGGGCTGCCACACATCCTGAGTGGGCGTACACATCACTCAGGCCACGTCCCCCCTGTCCCCCCCCCCAGCACTCCAAGGTGCCAGGTATACCTGTCCCCTTCCTCGTTGCCTTGCTGATGCTGTCTAGCCTCGTGAATGTGTGTGGTGGGGCGCTGTGGTCAATGCTGTTTAACAAACTTGCAAATTCTTGTCTATTCACCCGCCAGCCAGGGGCACGTAACCGCGCCACGCACGGCAACATCTCTAACATCAGCTTCCCAACCGCTTTGTGTCTCGTCCGACGTCCTCGTGCAGTTCGCCCACCTTGCACCCGATGCCCGCGCGCGGCTGCGCGACGCTCATGCCCCCGCGCAGCAGCTCGGCGTCCTCCTTTGCCGCCCACCCAAACCCGCCGCCTGCGCGCAGGGGGAAGTACGGCTGCTGCCCGCACGAGGCGCAGACAGCGGGTGCCTCGGCGCCCGCAGCCGCCGCCCGCAGCTGCAGCGGCTCCAGCCTGTGCCCGGTGCCCAGAAAGTTCCAGCAGCCCTCGTGCTCGCAAGCGTGGCCTGGCTTAGCTGCGGTCGGCTCGAGAGGAAACTCCGTTCCGCAGTAGGTGCCGAAGCCGCGATCTGCCGCCGCGCCAGCTACGGGTGCGCCTTCGTCGCCGTCGCCACCGCCGCACGGCACGCCGTGGCAGCTCGGCGTAGGGCAGAGCCAGGCCTCGTCAAAGGTGATGCTGGGGTACCCCCTGGCGAGCATCTGCCGGACCAGGTGGGCGAGCCATCGCACAGCGCTCGCCTGCCCCTTGGCGGCGCCCACAAAGTGAGAAGCGTCGTTCGGCGCGGCCACGACGATGTCGAGGGTGGCGGCGGCGAGGTCGACGCGCAGCAGCGCGGATGCGGCGCGGAAGCGGACCACCGCCGCGTCGCGCCAGAGCCGCGTGGCGCTCACGCTCCCGGCCGGCAGCCGCGCGAGGCGCGCGACGAGCATCGGGAACACGCCCGGCGGAAGGAAGCGGTCGCGGGCTCGGAAGCGGTGCCCCCGCATGACGAGCGCGGCGGTCGGGGTCGCAGTTGCTTCTGCCGCCGGCCAGTGGCACGCGAGCTCGGGGGCGCTGACGAGGGGCAGCAGGCAGGGGAAGAGGAAGCGGCCGCAGCCCGCCGCGTCCTTCTCGAGGCGAGAGAGCTCGACGCAGAGCTCGAGGCTGCACACGAGGCTCATCAGCATCGGTAGCTGCGCCTCTGGAGCGGAGTACCCGTGCTGCAGCGCCGCCACGACAAAATAGGCGCACGGGTTGCCATCGTCCCGCACAAGAACCTCTGGTAGCTGCGCCTCTGGCGTCAGGTTTAGGGTCTCGAACCCGCAGCCACTCGATGGCAACCCGTGCGCGGACGATGTTCCCGTGCGGGACGATGGCAACCCGTGCGCACGAACGAGGTTCTTGTTTCTTATCACCCTATCTGTGAAGGGGTCTAATTTAAACTCAACTTCACCCCTCTCACCTCAAGTGACAAACAACATATTGCTAAAAAAAATTTTTTTTGACCCTAAATTTGACAAAAAAAAATTTTTTAGCAATATTGTCAAATTTAGTTTGTCAAATTTAGGGTCAAAAAAAATTTTTTTTTAGCAATATGTTGTCAAATTTATGTCTTACATATATACTGGAATTTGTACAGTGAATTGTTGTTAATTTGTAAAAAGAAATAGAAAAAGAAATAAAAAAGAAATATACTCCTTATGGTAAGAGAGAGAGAATAATACTTTTCAATTTTTATAGTGTCGGTGTCGGCGGCGTCGGCGGCGGCGTCGGCGGTGGCGGCGGCGTCGGCGTCGGCGGTGGCGGCGGCGGTGGCGCGGGGCAACGAAATGGCCCCGTCGACCTTGACGGCGCCCACGGTCGAGAAATAGCCCTTTCGCAGCAGCGAGCCGACTGCGAGGGCGAGCTGGCGCACCTCTCTCTCGCCCAAGCCCGCCGTGCGGCAGAGCTCGCCGAGCCTCGCCGAGGGCAGCACCGCAGCGTGCCCTGCGCCGCCGTCGGCGCCGAGCGCGCCGAGCCCCTCGGCCGCGGGGGCGAGCGCGCCGTCCCGGTCGGCAAGCAGGGAGGGGAGGGCGGCGCCATCCACCGCCGCCGCCGAGAGAGCGGCGGCCGCCTTGCTCGCCCATTCGGTGCCTCGCTGCGCGCCCAGGCCGCGCGCCCACGCCGCCACCGCCGCCGCGTCCCACTGCGAGCAATGTAGGAGCGAGGCCGCGTAGGTTGGCCGCACCTCGGGCGGGCACCTATCAGGGGAGGGCTGGCCGGTGTGGCCCCGAGAGGAGATTCGCCGAGATTCGCCGAGATTCGCCGAGAAGACTCGGGAGCTCGCACGTGGCGGCGCCGCAAAAGGTTGTCTTCCCGACGCCGCCGAAGCCAACCACCATGAGCCGGATCCGAGAGACCGCCTGCGGCTCGGCCGACAGCATGGCGAGGTAGTCGCCCAACGCCTGGGAGCCTGCGCGGTGCGCGAGCGGCGGCGAGGTGAGCACGTTGCCAGACAGGTCGAGCCGCGAGCCGCCGCCCTCTGCGGCGCTGCCCCGCGCGCCGCCGCCCTCCGCGCTCCCGAGCCGCCGAGCGAGGCGCAGCTATGGAGGGAGAGAACAGCCGAGATACAGCCGAGATACAGCCGAGATGTGGCCGAGATGTGGCCGAGATGTGGCCTCGTGGCGACACACGACATCGCACCTGCGTCTCGATGGGCAGTGCGGTGATGATGTTGGAGGAGAGATCAAGCTCGCGCAGCGCCGGGTGTGCCGCAAACGCCTCGCACAGCGCCACACCGCCGCCGTCGTCGACGTCGTTGCGCGGGAGCTGCAGCCTCCGCAGCGCGCGGCACGAGGGCAGCGCCGCGGCGAGGGCGGGAGCGCTCGCGCCGAGCTCGTTGCCTCCGGGGGGGGGGCGGGGGTTGTTGGAGGGGGGGATCCGGAGCGCGCGGTGCGCGGTGGCAGCGACGGGCAAAGGGTGGGGTGGTGCCCGCGCCGGCCGGCGGGGGCGGCGCATGGTGGGTCGGGAGGGGGGGCAGCGGCAAAGCGGGCTGCCGAGGCGAGGTGGGGAGACAGGCATATAGACTGTAGTCGAGCGCGTCGGAGAGGTGTTTCGACACCGAGTGTTCGTGAGGCGAGCGCGCGCGAGGAAGCGGAACGCGCCTGCCGCGCTGAGAGAGACCAGCGCGCAAGCCTCGTGGCCGAGGAGGGCGGCGGCGAGCGCCGCACCCCCTGCAGCGCCCAGCCCGTTGCGGTCGAGTGTCAGCCTGCGCAGCACGCGCGACCGCCCAACGCCCGCAGCGAGCAGCGCGCCACCGACGCCGCCGAGAGCATTCAGCGACACGTCCAGGTCGGCGAGCGAACCGCTGCCGGCGACGGCGTCGGCGAGCGACGAGACGCCGTCGCTCCCGATCGCGTTGTCGCTCAGGTCCAGCCGCGTGAGGCTAGGGACACGTCCAACGGCGTGTCAGGGTCAGGGACGTGTCATGGGACGCGTGTCAGGGGCGTGTCATGGGACGCGTGTCAGGGACGTGTCATGGGACGCGTGTCAGGGACGTGTCATGGGACGCGTGTCAGGGACGTGTCATGGGACGCGTGTCAGGGACGTGTCATGGGACGCGTGTCAGGGACGTGTCATGGGACGCGTGTCAGGGACGTGTCATGGGACGCCATGGCTATGCAGGTGGGTCAGGGATGTGTCATGGTCAGGGACGTGTCCGCCATGGCTATGCAGGTGTGCCGAAGGCGCCTGGCGTTCGCGCCCACCGCCGCCCCGATTGCCGCGCCGCCGTCCGGTCCGAGCTCGTTTCGCCGCAAGTCGAGGGAGGTGAGGCCGGTGTTGCGCCGGAGGGCGGCGGCAAAGGCGGCGCCACCCACGGCGCCGAGCTCGTTTTGCGCCATGTTGAGGGAGGTGAGCGACGAGTTCACCTGTGGACGCGGCACGGACATGTGTGCCTGCTGTGGGGGCTCTTTGCGTTGGTCATCTGCACCTACGCCGCCATCGGGAAGACTTTCGACCCCATGCACGTGTCACGGACATGCCGAGGCTCGTGAAGCGGCGATTTGACCTCCAGTGCCTTGGCGAACGCCGTCGCACGCTCCAGGCCGTACCCGATGCGGTTGGACCTCATGCCCAGCGTGGCGAGGGAGGTGTTGACCGCGAGCGCCCTGCCAAACGCGACACCGCCCTCGACTCCCAAGTCGTTTTGCTCGACGTCCAGGCTGAGCAAGTGGCGGTTGGTCTCGAGGGCCTCGCCGAGCGCCCTGCCGCCGCCCGGGCCGAGGCCTAGGAGACGGCCAAACCGGCAACCTCACAACACGCGCGGGGCATAGGTGCGCTCCGCGGCGGCCGCGCTACCACACCGCACCAGCGTCAGCTGCGTGAGCGAGGTGTTGCTGCGCAGCCCGCGGGCGAGCGAGGCGCCGCCCTCCGGTGCGATGTCGTTCAGGCTCAAATTTAGGCGGGTGAGCGTCTGGTTCCGGCCAATCGCGTCGCCCAATGACATGCCGCCCTGCACGCCGATCCCATTCCTCTCCATCTCGAGCCGCCGCAGTGACGTATTCGACGCAATCGCCGCCGCGAGGTGCTTTGCGCGCTCTGGGCCGATACCTACGTTCGCCGAAGCAAGGTGACTTGCGGCCGAGCGCGGAGATGGTCACGAATGCTAACGAGCCGAGGCGCTGCATGTCGACTGTGGTTGCGCGGCAGTGCGGGGCCGAAAGAGCCTCGATCAATGCGCCAAAGGCGGAGCCCTCCGCGATCTCGCTGGCCAGGTGTACGTGCTCGCGAGCACACACGGCAGCCAGCCTTTCGTGCTGCGCTGGCTCGAGGCCTTCAGTCGCTGCATCGCCGAGCCGCGAGCGCTTGGCTACCTGGTCTCGGAGGTGGTCTCCGGAGCCATGCTTGACAGCGCCAATCGCTCCGTGCTGGTGGTTCTTGACCATCCTCGCCGCAAGCTAACGCCTGTGTCGCTTTGCCCATGCCCTGGGTTCCAACTTTTCCGGGGTGTGGTATGGTAGCGGGAGGGGGGGGTTATGGTCCTGGACCGCCCAAGGCTAGCCCCGATAGCTTCTCGCCGCCCTTGCTCGCCAGCGCCGGCGATGCCGTGGCGCGCCCGCCGCGCCCACGCGCCCGCGCCTGAAAGGTAGCCCTGCCACGCCCGACGTACCCCCGCGCCCGAAGGATGACCCGCGCCTCCTCCTCCGTCACGGGCGTCTCGCGACCCCCTCGCGCCCGGAGGATAGCCCGGGCCTCCTCGTCCGTCACGGGCATCTGCGTCTTGTGCTGCAGGGCAATCCTCAGCGCCCGGACGCGCTCGTCCTCCTCGGCCGTGGCCGCCGCGCTCGCCTCCGCCGCCCCAGAGCCCCCTCCTGCCCCACCTCCTCCGCGTCCGCGCCGCTGTATGTAGAATTCTACGAATACAAGCCCCTCTCACAGCAGACTGGCACGGACTAGCACCACAAAAGGATGTAGAATCCGAAGCACCGGCGGACGCAGCACGTGGCTGCGAACTGTGCCCGGTGTCGGTATGGCGCAGCCCTCCTTTTAGCCCCCCGCTACCCAGTTGCACTCGTGCGACGTAGCGGGGGGCCACGACTACGTTTACGAAAACATAAGTAGTCCCGCGAGGTGTGAATTCGGCCGCCCAGTAGCCCCCTCACCGGCACCCCCTCGAGCCCGGCACACACCTCCCACGCGCCTCCCCTCAGGCACCCTCGTCTCTCGCGCCGGCACCGCGCTCGTCGCCATGGCGGGCGGCGCACGACGGGGTCGCCGTGCTCGTCTGCTGCGAGACGTACAAGTTACGGAGCGGGTCCTGCTCGACGCGATCTGCTACAGAACGAGCTCGGCGACCCCGACGCGCTGCTCCAGGCGGCGGACGCCGACCAGGGCGGCGCCTCGCTCTCCGAGTGGCGCGAGCGGCCGCGGCTCAAGCTGCTCAACCATCATAAACCTCTTATTCGCACCTTGAAAAAAGAAATGTCCGACTTTTGTCGAAGATCCGGAGGGTTTATCAGAGCATCACCCTTTTTGCACATGTCTCGCTTTCGATTCATTTATTCTTTGTGGTGGTTCCCATGGTAAACTCGAGTATACCTGTGCTCCAGTGCGCAAAAAGAAAGAGAACAGGAAATTGAGAACAGGAAATTGAAAAAAAAAAGGAAATTGAACTCTGCGTGACAATCTCCAAGGAGGCGCGATGATGGCACGCTGCGAATCGCAACTCGAGACGCTGGACCAAGTCCTGTCTCTGCGAGTCGCCGTTGATGCATCTGCTCACGAACACAGCCCGCCCGCCTCGCGAGAAGGAGCACGCAGAACCCACCATCGCCGAATCCCTCGCGGCGGCCGCACCGGTGGTCAGACATGGTCTGGTCGTCGTCGAGCGCGGCAGCCGCAAAGGCGATGCTGTTGCACCTCCTTCGACTAAGGAGGGCATGCCTCACGCGAGCGGCAACCTATCGAAGGTGTCCTGTCCTTCCGGCTTCACCTGGATGTGTGTGCTTTCGCGACGCAAACATGCGCACGACGCCTCAGCAGTCATGAAGTCAGAACGCGAGAAGAGTCGGGTTCTGAGATGGCTGTGCTTTGCAGCGATGCAGCGCAAGCCGGACGAGCGCAGTCGTGTCTCGAGGCCGAGGACACCACCACGCTGCAATGCAGCGGGATCAAGACAGCTGCTGCTCGTCGCGATTCTGCCTGCCTTGTGTGCCGCTTCCGCACCGCCGCCGCCGCCGCTCCCACCCTCGGGTCCACAGATCACCGTTGCCGAAGCCAACCACGCTTGCGCGTTGAGGGCAGATACGCAGCATGCGGAGTGTTGGGGGGACAGTGCTCCCGCCGCGCCCGACGTGGCCTACACGCAGATCTCAGCGGGTCGACTCCACATCTGCGCTCTGAGGGCAGACAACGGGCGCGCCGAGTGCTGGGGTAGCAACAGCGCCGGCCAGAGCACCCCGCCGCACAGTGTGGCCTTCATACAAGTCTCTGCCGGCGGAGATCACGCTTGCGGTATCAGGGAGGACACGCGGCGCGTCGAGTGCTGGGGTGACGACAGCGAGGGCCAGAGTGGCGTCCCCGGGGCTCCATCGCTGCCGCCGCTCCCGCCGTCGCCATCGTCACCGCCCCCGTCACCGCCATCCCCATCGCCACCGCCACCCTCGCCGCCGCCACCAAGCCCGCCACCGCCCTCGCCACCTCCGCTCTCGCCACCTCCGCTCTCGTCATCGCCCTCGCCGCCATCGCCGTCGCCGCCACCGCCGTCGCCGCCGCCCCCCTCGCCGCCGTCGCCCTTACCGCCGACCGGCGGTCGCCGACGGCTTATTGAGCGGGTAGCCTACACGCAAGTATCTGCCGGCACGTATCACACATGCGCTCAGCAGGAAGACACCGTTCATGCTGATTGCTGGGGTAGGAACGTGGAAGGCC